AGTTTTCCATATGACTTTTCAAAAGGGCTGTTAGCGTTTTCTCTCTCCATATTTATTTCTTTATACTTCTCTTCCATCACCCTCCCCATAATCCTCCTATGTCTTCATCTCTCTGTAACACTATATTCTATTTATTTTCTCTTCCTTGGGAGATCTTCTCCTCCCTTGGTCACTTATTAGGTACATAACTTTTGGTTATTTGTATTAAAACACACATATCTAAAGCTTAAAAGGTAATGTTCACATACAATAGAAAGCATACAATATTTGCCTTTTTGGGTCTGGGTCACTCACTCAGGATACTTGTTTCTGACTCCATCATTTACCTGTAAACTTCAGCCAAATAATATTCCATTGAGAAAGTGCACCCACATGTTCTTTATGCATTCATCATTTGATGGACGTCTAGGCTGTTTCCAAAATCTGATTATTATGAATGGAGCAGCAATGAACATGGATGAGCAAATGTCTCTGTAGTAAGAAGTGGGTATGCCGTACAGTGGGGTAGCTGGATCAAATGGTAGATCAATTTTTAGCGTTTTGAGAAACATCCACACTGCTTTCTGTAGAGGCTGTACAAGTTTGCACTCCCACCAGCAGTGAATAAGTATTCTTCCCCTGCATCCTCACCGGCATCTGTTATTTTATTGACCTTAGCCATTCTGACTATGGGTAAGATGACATTTCAAAATAGTTCTAATTTGCATTTCCCTGATGGCTAAAGATATTGAACATTTCTTTAAGTGTTTCTCAGCTGCTTGTATTTCATCTTTTGAGAACTCCCTGTTTAGTTCCATACCCCATTTTAAAACTGGGTTGTTTCTTGACGTCTTTTTGTTTTGTAAAGTATTCTAGATACTAACCCTTTATCAGATGTATATTTGGTAAAGATTTTTTCTCCATTCTTCCGCTTTGCCTGATTGATTGTGTTATTTGCTGTGCAGAAACTTTTTAGCTTCATGAGGTTCCATGTAATAGGTCTTTCTTGTCAGATGGTCTTGGACCACCAGTTCCCAAATAATGACAAAGAAACTTAAATATGAAAGCTTGACCTTTAGCTTAGTCTTGTTCCCAGCCAGCTCTTATAACTTAAATTAACCTATTTCTATTTATCTATGCTCTGCCATGTGTCTTTTTACCTCTCTTCTATTATATATGTCCAATCTCCTCCATGTCTCTTTGGTGTCTCCCATGTATCTAGATTCATCCTCTGTGTTTCTCTTCTCAGAAGTTTACCTACTCTCTCCTGCTTAGCTATTGGTCATTCTGCTCTTTATTAAACGAATCAGAAGGCACCTTTCACATAATATGATCAAATATCCCGCAACATCCTGCATGCATTTATGAATTGTTGCTCTTAGTGCCTGTGCTATTAGTGTACTGTTCAGAAAGCCCTTTCCTGTGTCAATAAATTCAAAACCATTATTTTATTTTTTCTCTCTTTTTCTTCTTTCTCTTTTGTTTTGAGACAGGGTTTCTCTGTGTGTAGCCCTGACTCTCTGTGCTTTGTAGACCAGGCTGGCCTTGAACTCACAGAGATCTACCTGCCTCTGTCTCCCCAATGCTGGGACTAAAGGCTTGTGCCACTGCTGCCTGGCTCCCTATTTACTCTTTTATCAGAATAAGCATATCTGGTCTTCTGTCAAGGTCTTTGGTCCATCTGGAGTTGAGTTTTTTGCATTGTGATAGATAGGAATCTAATTCATTCTACACGCAGATATCAGGTTGACCAAGACTGTTGAAGATGCTTTTTTTTTTTTCTTTCCAGTGTGTACTTTTGGCTGCTTTATTAAAAATCGATGTCCATAGGTGTGTGGAGTGTTTTCTGGATCTTCAATTCCATTCCATTGATAGATATATCTATTTTTATACCAATACCATGCTGTTGGTATTAAAATAGCTTTATGATACAACTTGAACTCTGGGATGGTGATTTGCCCAGCAGTTCTTTTATTATTCGGGATGGCCTTAGCTATTCTCCGTTTTTTGTTTGTTTGTTTTTCAACATGAAGTTGAAGATCTTTATTTCAATTTCTGAGATTGTTAGAATTTTGATGGGGATTGTGTTGAATATGTGGACTGCTTATAACAGGATGGCCATTTTCACAGTATTAACCCTTCCAATACATGAACTTCTATCCAGTGTCTTAAACATGTTGATTTCTGTGTGTTTGTGTCTTGGTATGAGCTTGTAAGTGTGAACACCTTCAGAGGCCAGAAGAGGATATAGAATGTCAGTCGGGTCCTGTGTAGCTGGAGGGACTGGAGGATGTGAGCTGCCCTGCATCTGCAAGAGCAGCAGGTGGTCTGAACTTAGGAGTCATCCTTCCTTCCAGCTTTTTTTTTTTTTTTTTTTAATGTCTCACTGTACAGACCGGACTGACTTGGAACTTCCTGTTTAGCCCAGGCTAGTTTCAGCTGTGGCAGTATGACAGTATTTCTGCCTTCCCTTCCCAAGTGCTGGGGTGACAGAGATATGCCAGCATCACATCTGGGCTTTCAAACTGTTACAACAATAATACATAAAAACCACACCCACAGAGATAGAATTTTTATCTGATTTTTCTTAAAGGCTTTACTTAATTTTTGATTATGTATATATGTAGTGATAGTGAGCGGTGGGTGCCCAGAGCCTCTGGAACTAGAGTTACAGGTAGTTATGAGCTGCCTGACATGGTGCTGGGAACCAAACTAAGATCCTCTGGAAGAGCTGCACACACTTTTAACCATTGAGCTGTTTATGTAACCCTCTGCTGTTGTGGAATATTATTTTAAGATATTATTTACATTTATTTATGCTGTGGAACATTTGTTTTAATGATGCAAAGATATGTTGCATTCTTTTATGTTGGTTGCTTTTGTTTAACTCTGTGAAACTATGATGCTTTGCCTGACTAAAGTGTCTTATTGTTTAATAAAGATCTTGAACAGCCAGTAGGTAGGCAGGAGCAAGGACAGGTGGGGCTGGGAGGCAGAGAGAATAAATCTGGGAAGAAGAAATCAAGGAATAAGAGAACAAGGAAAGGAGGACGCTAGTGGCCAGCCACCCAGACACCGCCAATCATGGAATGAGAGCAAAAGTAAGAAAGGGAAAAGCCCAGAGGCAAAAGGTAGATAGGATAATTTAAGAAACAAGCCAAGCTAAGGCTGGGCATTTATGAATAATAATAAGCCTCTGTGTGATTTATTTGGGAGATGGGTAGTACCCCCTGTCCCCAAAGAGTAAGGAACAAAAGAGCCGGGGAGGGGGGGGAAGGATAATAACCAACTACACCTTGATATTTGTATTTTGAGACAGTTCCATGTAGCCAAGGCTGGCCTCAGTTTCATGAAGTAGTCTAGGATGTCCTTGAACTTCTGATCCATTTGCCTCTACCTCTCAAGTTCCGGGATTATAGGTGTGTGCCACCACCGCCCCGGCTGACACCTGCAGTTTTTAATGCAGTGTTGGAATCAACCATGGAGCACACGGAAGGGAATGCACTTAGGATGTCGGCTTGTGTGGCCTGTCAAAGTGAGCCATCTTGTTGACCTCTGTATTTACTTTTATCTGTTTATTACTTGAAAATATGGCATTGACATCAGGATGCTTTACAAAAGCAATTAACCCTTTGTTTTTCGTGTTGCACAATTTGGGTTCATCTGATTGCTCTTTCCTGATTAATTTTCAGCAGAGGTGCTTGTCACAAGTCATGTGCCGTGCTCCCTTAGGCATGTTAATGCCTGTGCTGGCATACTGGGTGGTGTAAAGCTTGAATACTCTGTAAAGAGTCTCTGTAGTAGGAGGCCGCTTGTTTGTTCCCTGACTCGAAATAATCACACAGAAACCATATTATTTGCAACACTGTTCAATTGCTTAAACATATTGCTAGCTTACTCATATCTTAAATTATTGAAAAATTAATTTCTATTATTTTATATTTCACCATGAGGCTCATGGCCTACTGACAGGGTTCCTGCTGGCGGTTTGCATCTTTCTCTGGTGGCTTCATGGAGTCTCGCTGACTCTGCCGGCTCGCTCTCTATATATCTCTTCCAGCCTGGCTAGGTTCTGTTAAGTCATTGGCCGAAAGTAGCTTCTTTATTCATTAGCCAATAAAAGCAACACATAGACAGAAGGACTTCCCACACCAGTTCTGTGTCTAGATGTCTTCATTGCAAAGGTGTTTTGTCAGCATGCCTACAGAACCAGCTCCAGATTTTAGGTGTGAGCTGTGTGGCACAAAGAAAGGAGTCCTGATGGAACTGTTGCAGAGACCAGAGCAGTGAAGATGTGGGAAGCGCAGGCGGAGTTATTGAGAGACAAGTAGTTATGAAACATGAGAATCACACAGAGTTCTGGGGTGCTCCCAGGGTGCCAGATTTTCCTAATTTCAAGAGGGACTATAAATCCATATTTTTATATAGAATTTCCTGTTTGGTGGTAAACAATTAAAGACATTTTGGGTTACTCATCCGTGTGTTCTGTTCTAAAAGAATGCTATAATATTTGATATAAAGTTAATCTTGAAAATGAGATTAGTTTTACTCAGGAATTTGCAAGATTAAAGACTGTGGTGTGGAAGAAATGTGTGGGAGGGTGTGAGTTAGTCATCTGTGGGGAATAGCAACTACACATTCTTGGCTCAAATAGAGCCTACAAACCAGTTTGGCTGTAAGGATGGGAAAATGACTTGAGAAAAATATTAGAAGCATACATCTAATAATGGCACTGCTGGTTTATAAGGAAACATGCAGTACCATGTCGTGTCGTCTTAGGAAATAAAGATGTGCGTATCCTTTGTAGGAGGCCTCTGCACTGGAGCCCCCAGCACTCTCTCTCTTTTGTTGGGGCCGGGGATGAGATTCCCTCTCAGTGCATGGTCGTGCTCTGCCTCTGCCCTACAGCACAAGTAGAGCTCCGTGTTGAGATGCAGCTCATGGAGCACAGTAATCTGTTAGAGTCTGTCTTTTGTCTTGGTTTAGTTGACTTTACTAATACATTCTTTGCTTTCCACCAGCTTCGTGCTCTGTATTCAATGTACCTTAGGAAAACAAAGAGTTTGAATAAATTACTCTATCATCTGTTCAGACTTATGCCAGAGAATCCTACTTATGGAGAGACAGCTATTGAGGTATCAAATAAGGACCCCAAAACATTCTTCACTGAGGAACTTCAGCTGAGTATTAGAGGTCAGTGGTCTACATGTGTGTATCTTTCTTAGAGCCTTGATAAAACCAAGTTATACTAAAGTTCCTGGAGCTATGGAGGATAATCCCAAATGGAAATCTTACCTGTGTGTGCTGAAATGCAGGATTTTACAAATTTATCCAATAGGACAGATTCCTGGATCTTATAGATGAGGTTGTAAAGAATTTCATTTGTTTTTGAAGTTTAGTATTCTGTATGAGGTTTATTTGTTTTTGTTTTTGAAGACAAGGTTTCACTGTGGCTTTAGATAGCCTGGAATTCTATAGGCCAGGATGGCCTTGAATTCACCTGTCTACTTCTGGGATTAAAGGCACGTATCACCATGCCCAGCTATATTTAATTAATGGAATAAAAATAAGTTAGAAGTTTGTGTTCTTCACCTGAAAACTTGGGTTTTAGTTAAGGATATAGACACGTAGTACACCTGGCTCTATTTTCATAATTATAAATTTATCTATGAAGAACTGCTAAGGGGCTGGAGAGATGGCTCAGAGGTTAAGAGCATTGCCTGCTCTTCCAAAGGTCCTGAGTTCAATTCCCAGCAACCACATGGTGGCTCATAACCATCTGTAATGAGGTCTGGTGCCCTCTTCTGGCCTGCAGGCATACACACAGACAGAATATTGTATATATAATAAACAAACAAACAAATAAATATTAAAAAAAAAAGAACTGCTAAAACTCCTTTATCTGATGGTGTACCACATGGTGGGAAGATTGGGTGTTCCTTCTTCTTCTTTTTTTTTTTTTTTTTAGCTTTCTAGGCTTATTTTTATTTAATCTGTATGAGTGTTTTTCCTGCATGCATCTGTACCATGTTTCTGTCCACAAAGGCCAGAAGGAGGGGGTCTGTTCCCTAGAACTGGAATTACAGACAGTTGTGAACTGCCATCTACCTGCTGGGAATCTAGTTCCTCTGCAGAGCAACAAATGCTCTTAACCATTAAGCTGTCTGTTCAGATCCTGGGATCCTCGGTTGTTTGTTTTTGTTTTTAAAGACAGTTTCTCAGTCTAACAGCCTTGACTGTCCTAGAACTCACTCTGTAGACCAGGCTGGCCTTGAACTCATAGATCAGCCTATCTCTGCCTCCTGAGTGCTAAGATGAAAGGTATGTGCCACCACTGCTCAGCTGCAACTTACTTTTATAAGTAAAAAAGGAAAAGAAAAAAACCCAACAACCTTAACTGATTCTTTTTAAAAAATGCTTGTCCCATTTCATTTGTGGTCTTTCGTGTGAAACATAGGATGTTATCTCTAGACTCTTCTGTGTCCATGGGGTTTTCACTCTTAAGTCTTGTCACTGATGTGATTCCTTTGGAGTGTATGGGAGGATATTAACAGTCTTTCTCTGTTGACTGATGGTGGTGGCTTGCTAAGGACTATATTGTTAGTCAGCTCTTCTAGGTGAGAAGTGCATATCACTAACTGGAATTTGTTTTTCCTCAGGAACAGCAACTCTCCCGTACCACATCCCACACCTGGCGTGCTCAGTCTACCACATGACTCTAAAAGACCTGCCTGCCATGGTTAGGCTCTGGTGGAATAGCAGTGAGAAGCGGGTTTTCAATATTGTAGATAGATTCACAAGCAAGTATGTCAGTAGTGTTCTTTCTTTTCAAGAAATATCTTCTGTACAAACCAGTACACAGCTATTCAATGGCATGACGGTTAGTATTGTCTTAACTTTCTCCAGAAAACAAATACTTTTGATATCTTTGATTGCTTATGTCATCACAAGTTGTAACCTTTGATTCAGAATTTATAGAATTTATCTACCTTATTTTCTGATTCCTTTGTGTCAAGAAAGACAGTCGGCATCCAGCTGACTTAACACTGTGGGTGCCTTTCGACTGTTGAGCAATGCTTTGCTGGGTTAAAACCTACTACACTTAGGTACTTTTTATCAGCAATTGTAAGACAAACTATAAATATAAAGAGACACTAAAAGCATGTAAAATCTTTTATTTTTTGAGACAGGGTCTCACTTGTAGCCTTGGCTCAGCAGAATGTAGATGAATGAGTCTAGATCACAAACATCTATCTGCCTCTGCCTTCAGAGTGCTGGGATTAAAGGCAAGAAACATCACACTCTGCCACATTCCAGGCTCTTAAACCTACTTTTTAAATGCCTGGTATCAGATAAATCATGTGTTTATGTCTTTTATTCTCTAGGTAGTCTTCAGCTGTTAGTTGATCTATCAAAGTGTTTTGGTTTTTGAATAACGGGAAGCTCTTTGGCAAAGAAGAAATACCTTTCTTGCATTGTAGGTTAAAGCACGAGCTACTACTCGAGAAGTGATGGCTACATACACCATCGAAGACATAGTCATCGAGCTCATAATACAGCTGCCCTCCAACTATCCATTGGGTTCCATAACAGTGGAAAGTGGGAAAAGAATTGGGGTGGCTGTGCAGCAGTGGCGCAACTGGATGCTGCAGTTAAGCACTTACCTCACGCACCAGGTAATGGTTTTGCTTACGTTTGCCTTTCAGATCAGAGACCATCTGTTTGAGGAGCAGCTGAACACAAAGTATAATCTCTGCTTAATGTGGGAATTAAAAGTTCCTGACTAAACACAAATACTTTTTGTTGTTTCTATTTTGGATTTTCGAGACAGGGTTTCTTTGTAGCTTTGGAGCCTGTCTTGGAACTCGAGCTGTAGACCAGGCTGGCCTCGAACTCACAGAGCTCCTCCTGCCTCTGCCTCCCAAGCTCTGGGATTAAAGGCATGCGCCACCACAGCCTGGCACAAATACATTCTTAAGTAACCTAAAGCTGCCATCTCTGCTTTAATGTTCAAAACTCTGTTATTAATTTTCTGTTATTCGGCAGGGATGGGCTTTATTCCACTGACATTGCAGAAGATATAGAACAACATTTGGAATTAAAGAAATTGAGGGACTGTCTTAAGAGGGACTAGGTTGATGAGTGTTTTCACAGTTGCTTTTATCCTGCATTTAAACTTTCCTTTGAGCTTTAAACTAATATAAATCTCAGGTTTTATGTGTATGTTGTAAAGTGTGTGTGTGTGTGTACGTACATACATACATACATACATACATACATACATACATACATACATACATATATATTAAGTACTTTACAGTAAAGGAAGTTATTTTAAAGCAATTTTGCATTCCGTTATGTAAGTTGAGGCCAGATGTCATCACTGTCAGTTAAAAATTAGAAAAGCTATTCTCAACGACTTCATTTCACTATAGAAGAGCGTAACACTTAGAGTATTGGTTCAAAGCTTTAATGTCTTTTTCTATGTTTTTAAAGACCACCTTCTGTTTTTTCAGTGTATGTTGAGCACACCCACTCTTATGTTCCCTCCCCGACTCGCTGCTGCAGACACGCAGCTCACCTGCCTCCCCCTCTCATCTCTTTTATGTCATAGCCGTCCATCCCGCACTGAGTCCACTTAGCGCTGCCTGCTGCACTTGCTGATCTTGTTGGCTTGACCTTGTGCAGGTTGCCCTAGGTGCAATGGGTTCTTAAGTGCAGGAGCCATGTCCTGTCCATCAGAGGACAGCATTTCTCATATCCTCTGGTGCTTACAGTCTTTCTGCTCCTCTTCCAGGATGTCCCCTAAGCTCTGAGTGGTTGATGCAGATGCCTCACTCATGGTATAGCAGTTAAATGTCATTTATTCTCTCAGCATTTGACCAGCTGTGAGTCTTTATATTGCTGCCCACTTGAGCAAGAACATCACTTATCTGTGGGCTTGAAACATAAGTGTTTAGAAGGAAGTTTAAAAACATGCTTGTCATTTAGCAAAATAAAAGTAATAGGGCTGTGGCGTTTTGATCAGGTTTACAGAACGGGATTTGAGTTTCCCCCACCCCCTCCCCCGTGAAGCAGGCCACAGAGCCAAGGGGAAAGCTGTTGTTACCCCACAGCAGTCTGGCACTACTGCACCAGCAGGCAGGCCATCTTGCCTGTGCTGGAAGACAGTTGATGTCCTTCCTCCCTCAGTGGCCTGCACAGCACTTCTGGCACCATGAAATAGGGAGGAAGTGTTCAGGTCAATTCTAGCTTGATTTCTCTATGTTCTACAACTAAAGTGCGTTATATTCTTATCTTGTTCTGGTGGGCAGTACAGGCAATGGTAATAGCCTTTGTTGTTTGGGGGCCTCTGGGACCTTGCTAATAAACCATTCATGTAAAGGTAGCGTTACATTAAAAGTTTTTAAATTACTTTTTTTTTTTTTTTTTAAAAGAGAATACAAAGTTTGGATAGGGGTAGGTGGTATAGGCGGGTCTTCTGTCTGTGCTACTTTCATTGGTTAAATAAAGAAACTGCCTTGGCCTAGTTGATAGGCGAACTCAGGTAGGTGGGGAAGACAGAACAGAATTCTGGGAGGAAGAAAGCAGGCAGGGAGAGCCACCATGGAGCCAGCCGTCAGGTCAAACATGCTGAATCTTTCCCGGTAAGCTACGGCCTTGTGGTGACATACTGATTATTAGAAATGGGTTGAATCAAGATGTGAGAGTTAGCCAATAAGAGGCTAGAGCTAATGGGCCAGGCAGTAATCTAATTAATACAGATTTCTGTGTGATTATTTCGGGCATAAGTTAGCCCCGTGGCTGGGACGACAAGCAGCCTGCTAGCCCGGGTGTAAGCCAGTCAGGCAGTGGGAAGCGGCCCACTCCTCCTTACTACAGGTAGGTAGGTGGAGGCAGATCTAAGCGGAGACTGGGGAGGAGCTGATATGTTCAAAATACATTTTATGAAATTCTCAGAGATTAGTAAAAAGCCTAAATAAAGTACATATTTATGTAAACATATTTTTAAATGATTTTACAAGGTATGGTTTCTATAAGTGTTTCTCATACTCTCTTAGCTTCAGTTCACCCACTTCCAAATTCTCCCTTTTCTTCTGTGCCCCTGCCTGAGTCTCACTTAAACTTTTAACCCCCAGAATTTCCTGTAAAAACTGTCTTTATTGTGAAAAAATAATTTTTTTCCCTAAAAATTCAGAGATTATTTAGGAAAGTTAGGACATAATATAACCGACCAGATTATCTTCTTTCAGAATTAATTTCAGCTTTGAAATTTATGGGGTTGAATAAAGTAACCTTTGGAGGCTTCCCATGTGTGGTCACTCTCCTTCCTCTTCACTGACAGAATGGAAGCATCATGGAAGGCTTGGCACTGTGGAAGAACAATGTGGACAAGCGTTTCGAGGGGGTTGAAGACTGTATGATCTGCTTCTCAGTCATTCATGGTTTCAACTACTCTCTCCCCAAAAAAGCCTGCAGAACATGCAAGAAAAAGTTCCACTCAGCTTGCTTGGTAAGGCAAAGAGAAACTTCTCCTATTTCTTGTGCTGTGTATTGTGTGATCTTTATTTGGAAGACAGTGAGTAGAGCATGTTAGATGGCTCAGCAGGAAGGAAAGGCACCTGGAGAGAACCAAGCTGACCAGAGTTGATCTCTGACCTCACGCCCTAGTCACTGCACATCCTGTCTGCGTGAAGGAGGAGACATTAAGAAGTGAATCTTCAAAGTCTGTAAAAGACTACGTGTGATTTACTTAGGCGGAACATGAAACTCCTTAATGAGTGGGTGTTCTCATAGACCTCTTAGCATTCAGTGAATTGACGGTCTCGTGAGCTCTAGACCAAGTCAGGAGGTTCCAGACTCAACTCTGATCCTCATCGTCAGAGCCTTTTATCCTTTGTAAACATACTGAAGCACAGTGATTGAGCCATTTCTTCAGAGCTCTTCCTTCTAGCTTAGTTCTATGCAGGAGCCTAAGTATATGGGCCAAGGGTCATAGTGTAGCCTCCAGAAAGTTATGTTCATTCTTAGTATGTTCCCGTTTTCATTTTACATTTACAGCTTACCATATAAAAAAGCTTTAAAAATTTATCCTAATATTAAAATCTTTTTTTTTTCAGTACAAATGGTTTACATCTAGCAACAAATCTACTTGTCCACTCTGTCGTGAGACCTTTTTCTGAGGTTTTTTAAATTGTAAGTTGTCCCTGCAATTGGTGAAGCCAGAGGCCCTGGATTTGGCTCCATCTTGAAGTACTGACTTGAAGAAGCCAGTGAGCATGATACAATTGCCATCTCTGCTCATATGACCTAAAATCAGGCTCACTTCTTTCGAGATTGCTTTGTAAATCTTTTGAAACCTTTTTCTTTTACAAGAGAACATTACATATTTGAGAGAAAATATTTATATTAATGGTTTAGTCTCTTTGTATATTTAAAAATAAATATATCTCTTCTCAAAAATACCTAAATTATAGAACTGAAGTTTGTGAAAGCATTAGCTATATAATAACTTATAAATCATCAAGTTTGTTGGTCTGTGTTGTAGAACAGTCCAAGTGTAAGGAATTGAGAGCTGTTTTACATCCATAGATAAAACTTAAGATTTGTTTGTTAATGATGATGAAAAAAATTAAAAGTTACTCTGATTTTCATACTTATTTTAATGATAAAGTGACACTAAGCTATTTACATCCATATCCAGAGCTCTTTGAAGAATGCTCTGAAATCTCACACGGAAGAATGAACTGAACTCTAAGGGGCTCTGTCAAGAATTATGAAATTTATAAATTATATCCATGACATTGACCTTTTGTTTGTGAAAGAATTATTTCCGTATGTTAATGAGATTTGAATTGTAAATTTGTGAGTGGAGTTGTTAGTTTAGTAAGTCTCCAGAGAGTAGGAATTTGAGGTAAGCAGCTATTTGATTATTTGTGAAGTAAAATGGTAGCTGAATATCAAGAAAGGAACAGATAAGTATGCTTTCTAAAGCATGGCACCTGCAAAAACCAGTATTTCCAAATACTGAAGGAGACTCTCTTTAAATTTTGTAGCAAATTTCGCTATCCTTACTGGCCATCATTACACCAAATCAGGAATTTGGGGACTAATTATTTAAAACCATAAGAAAGGAAGGATTTAGTACTAAATAAAATTAAGTCTTTAGTTTTTTGTTTTGTTTTGAGACAGGAGTTCACTATGTAGCTCTGGGCAGGCCTGGAACTCAGAGATCTGCCTGCCTCTGCCTCCCAAACTCTGGGATTAAAGGTGAGTGCCGCCAAGCCTGATGAAATGAAGTCAGTGAAGTCTTAGTGGATTGAAGTGTGTAAACAAGTAAAAAACTGCCTTGGCTACAGCACCATTGCCTTTAAAACCTGCATCCAAAGTATGAGGTATAGAAGTTCAGATCTTAGACCAATTTTATCACAGTCTTCCATTTCGTATCTAGCAGTTAGGACACCTAAAAGGTCAGTTCATCTCTACAAATGTTTAATTAGAAGGGTGCGACTCGTGTCAAATAAAATCACTGCTTACCATCAATTGGTCAACATGACTGTTATTGAAAATAGTATGAATTTGGTCAGGATTGCAGTCCAGAGTGAGAGCTGTGGGCTACAGGTGAAGCATTGGGTTGTCTGTCTCCTGATTTTTTTCTGTATAGTATTTATCATCTTACAGTCTTGAGGTTTGGAGACGGAGTGAAGTGTAGATATCAAAATCTACTACCTCTTCTTAACCTTTCAAACATTCTCTTACCTTTCTACGTCTGCCTCCGACACAAGAATCTCAAGGATTGTGTAACAGCCCTGTGAAAATCATTCTTTCTTTTTAAAGTGGCTTTACAATAAAATTTTCTTTATAACCCTTCCAGTATTGGTTCTTCTTGACTTCTGACCCAAAGTTCAAGTAGAAGAGAGACAGGGCAGCAGGTTAGGTGGGAGGGACTCTGAATACATCCTGTACGATTTGTGTGGAGAGCTGTCAGCTCAGCACTGCCCCGACACTAAAGGAAGCTTCCCAGAAGCAAGACTGAAACCCAGGTTTCCGCACTCAGGTTTCACTCCTTTAGCTGTGATGACACTCACAGACAGGACACAGCCTTGAAAGTTTTAGCATGACAAGATCTTAAAATCAAAAGGGCCTAAGTATCAAAGCCCTACTACAAATTTACTTAAAACCCCAAACTAAATAGCAATTTTTATAATTTACCTTTAATTGTTATTTTTCTCATTTATATACATTTCTGTGGTTTAAATGTTAACACATGGCAAATTTCTATGGTGTGAATAATTGTTATTTGATTATTATCTTATTAAATTCTTGCAAATTACAAAATATTTCAAATATACAGAAAATAGTAATTAATATAAATCCTTGTACTCTTCCCATACTATTTTGCCACATTTGATTCTTCTTTTTAAAGAAATAAAAATGTTTCTCTTGTATTCTCTAACCTATTCTTCTTCCTTCTTCAGAGACAGTTTACTGTTCTGAAGTTTGTACACTTCCTTCCCGTTGGAGGGTTTGTACTTTCTGCTATGCTTGTATCCATATGTGATAGGTAGCATTTTTTTTCTTTAAGCTTGAGGTCCTTTCCTGCTGTGTCATCTTCTGCAGCATGCTTCTTCACCTGACAGCTATTTAGCATCACACCTGCCATCCTCCCAGGAGCGATCCTGGCAGTGTCTGCTCCTTTGAGCCCATGCTGTCGGATGTGCTCTTTATCGTCTTTCTCAGCAAATGTGGCAGGTGTTCTGGAGGCGTGAGCTACAGTGAACTCCAGGTGACAAAGCGCGAGCCGTTGGTTTACGTGATGTCACATTGTTCTTTATCTTGGCCACATGTTGGCCCGTCTCACAGGACAGTAAGGGTTCTGGTTTGTACTTGTCACTCATGCTTAGTTTTAATGAAATTGCCTGGCTTTTAGTTGGAGAATGTGAGTTAGCAAGCATTGTATAACTCTGCTACATCTCCCATCATCTTCATTATGATTCATATTTTCCTAACTAAGGAGAGACCTAGTTTCATTCATTCTTGCTTGCTGGTCATTATTTTACAAACATGTCCACAATTTATGTTTATATTTCTATTAGGTTACTTGTATTTTTAAGCTAGTTGCATAATGCTTTACTATCTAGTCAAGCTTGTCTTCAATATGGAATTAATTTTACATTTATTTACATTTTACTAAAATTTTCCACTTAATTAAATTATTCCTTTCCATTTTGATTCAGCCATTTTTTTTTTTTTTTTTTTTTGGTCTTAATGTTTTTACTAGTTAGGGTCCCTAGAGGAACACAACATAGAATGAATGTGTATATTAGAATGGCTTACAGACTGTGGTCCAACAATGGCTGTCTACCAACAGAAGGTCCAGTAGTTGTTCAGTTTAAGAGTCTGGATGTCTCAACTGGTGTTCAGTATGTGCCAGAATCCAATGGCAGGCCCTAATGCTAGTGAAGGAATGGACTTGCCAGCAAGAGCAAGCAGGCAAAGAATAAAAGCTTCCTTCCTCCGTGTCCTTTATATAGGCTGCCAGCAGAAGACGTGGCCCAGATTAAAGGCAGATTTTCCTATCTCAAAAGATCCAGATTTAAAGTGGTTTAGTTAAGAGAAGCCCCTCCCAGATGTGCCCATCCACTGTGGTGTTAGCTCCAGTTGGCAACAGTCATCACAGCACCAAAAGTTTGGTTACTCCCGTCTGGCTCTTTTGCCCTCACCAAATTTTACCTTATGGGTCTTATAACCCAACTGTTTTTTTTTATTATCATTATTTTCTGCTCCAAATTAGAGATAAGAGAAATGCTATGTATTTGTGATGGAATCTTTCATTGTCTGTATAAATTTGTCTTTCCATTTTCCAGGATTTCCCTTATAAAAGGTCTTATTAAGGGTGCTCATCTGTCTTTGGTAGCTTTGACTTATTTACTGTGAACTTTAAGAATAAGGGCTCCTTTGAGTAACACCAAGGCATCCCGTAACTTGTGTCTTTGACACCCAGATTCAGTAGGTTATTTGGGATAAGAGACAACTTAGTTTCACTGAATTAGCACATGAAGTAATGGGCTTCACTGTGGCATTTTCGTGTGTTACTACCCTATCCCATTTCGTTCCTTCTCAACATCAGCTTCTCTCCATAGCAGTCTGGTGACCATAATGCACAGCAACAGAAGACATGCCGGGGCTTCCAGAGTTCCCGTCCTCTAACACCGCAGGCATTTGGTATGCATCAGGCTGGGCCCACACTGCTGTCCCCGCCCCTCCCCGCCCCCACAGGGTTTGGGACACAGACAAACCGATGAAGACATGCCAGTGTTGATACTAGTTGCTGTGCTATGGTGATGTGCGCTGCTCTTGTGAAACTGTAGCTGAGAGGTTTGTGGGCACGGTCAAGGAGCATCCATTTAGCAGCTTGCTAAAGCTAACAGGTTTTCACCTAATTGTCCACTCCCCAAATGTGGCACATTGGCGGCAAGACCACAGGTTGGGAACAAGTGTTCCTTAGTACCTGAGAGGTCTCACCAACAACCTGCTCCTCCCACCTACTCTTCAAAGTCCAGGCTGCCATGTGGTCCAGCAAATCCAGTGGTGTTTGAGGCTGTGAGGAAAGGCAGGGACTCCATACAGGGCCTCTGGCGGCCCCTATGGTAAACTGCAGTTGCAGGCCTTATGGATTCTGGAGTTAAGACCCTGCTAATATCACAACTGCTCTTGCTTTAAATGATAGCCCTTGGTCGATACTGTATCTTATGAATAGAGAATATTGATCACCACGTTATCCTGGCCCTAGTTACTCTATCATGAATTGGGGATTATTACTATCATTTTTAAAAAATATTTATTTATTCTGTATACAATATTCTGTCTACATGTATGCCTGGAGGCCAGAAGGGGGCACCAGATCTCATTACAGACAATGCTCTTAACCTCTGGGCCATCTCTCTAGCCCCTACTATCATTTTTATTATTTGAAAATTTCATGCATGTATACAGTGTATACTAATCATAATCACCCCTCACCCTCCTCATCTCCCAACTTCATGCCTACTTTTTAAATTATATATACAGGACTGGACAATGCCACCATAAGAGTGAACGTTGCTTTATTCCTGCAGTTTACCCTCAAGCCTTTGTCATGCACACACATCGATACACTGCTTCGGAAGGGTTCTCAGAACAGTATATATAGGATGAAATTCATCTGCAGCTTCCTCTTTGCACTCCGTTGTAGCCAGCTGCCATCTGGTTCAGGTCTACACAGTGACTCGTTTCGTGGCTGTATGTTCAGTGGAATGGATAGCTGAGACTTATTTTAACCAGTGTCCTTTCTGATGGACTTTTAGGGTGGTTATATTACTTTGCTATTATAGCTAATGCTAAATCAAACATTCTTTCATATATAAATATAACATAAAATATAAATTATAAATAGAATATACACATTTGCTTGCAAGTGTACAGAAATACCCACATACTTGAGTCCCTGAAAACAAAATGCCTGAGCTTAACTGTTTCTGGTTTTCAGCTTTGTTTTCTTTGCATGTTTTGCATTATGTATGTAATACCACACGTGTGCCTGGTACCCTGAAGGTCAGAAAAGGCCAGGAGCCCTTGAAACTGGAGTTATGGTGGCTGTGAGCCACCATGTGGGTGCTGAAAGTCGGGCCCAATCCCCTGCACTAGCAGCCAGTGCTCTTAACCTCTTAGCCACTTATCCAGCTCCCACCCTTTCTTTCTTTGCCCCCTGAGACAGGGTTTCTCTGGGTGACAGTCCTGGCAGTCCTGGAACTCTCCTGAGTGTTCAGATTAAAGGTATGTGTCATGACCACCCTAACTCCATCTTTTTCTTTATGACACATTTCTGATAAACTTTCTTGGCCAGGGAATGACGTCCGTCTCGAACCAGCTGAGTGCATTCCGCTTCAGGCAGTTCTCGGGCATCTGGTGGTTCTCAGGACATTAGGACTTGCTGAACCTGAGGACTGACAGGATTTCTTGGCCTGCTTGCCTGCAAAGTGTTGTGGTCCCTTGCAGACCTTTTGTCTTCAGTGTTTTAAAAATTTCTTCTAAAATGAAAAAACAAAAAACAATAAAACCAAAAGGTAAAATTCAATCTAATCATTTGGTGATATGCATGACTCCTGATTAATTTAATTAGATGATAAGCATTAAATTCCTCTGATTAAACAATGCATACTAAATAATGTTTGTTAACTCAAGCTTGGACTTCAGAGAAGTGGGACACATATTAAGATGTTCTGAGGATTCTGATTAGGGCCAGTGTGTAGTGGTGGCCTACTTCAGACTACACAAGATCATTAGTTAACCTTGTTAGAGCAAGTGATCACATTTTTAGCTGGTTGGTGCCAATCTCTGCCATATATCCTTTCTGGAAAGGTCAATGAGAATATGAACAAACTGAATCCTGACATTGCCCAGAGAAAGTAAACAAGTTTACTTTTTTTGGAAATAAAACCTAGGGCTGGAAAGATGGCTCTGTGGTTAAGAGCACTTACGGCTCTTTCAGAAGACCTGGGTTCAAGTCTCAGCACTCACACGATAGTTCACAACCATGTATAACTATAGTTCCAAGGGATCCAATTCTTTCTTCTGATGTTCTAAGAAAAGACTGAACTAAGAAAATAGTTCCAAATAACCCCTTCACATACAATAAATGGGTTATGTCTTTATCATTTGGCCCAAGGATCCATAGACCACCCCCGCCGAACATTATAGGCCATTGCCAAAGCTAGCTCACCCTACAGTCTTGAGGGTTCAGACCATATTGCTGAAGCCTAACTGGTACTCGACTGGAAACTTCATCTCTACCGGCTAGTGTTTAGTGTCTGGAAGATCTACACTCCGCTGGGGTCAAGTCTCATCCCGCTGTGAGCCTGTGAACGACAACACTGACCTGCCTGCAAGGGCTCCTGCAGTGCACATGTGGGAGTAACCCTCTTTTTCTGTTACTGCCCCACGAGAAGGAGCCCACACGGGGGGCCACGTGATATTTGAATATTTTATGAATGAGGGAAAACTACTGTCCTAAGAAGACAATAGTTTCTGTTTTTCGAGACAGGATTTCTCTATAGCTTAGAAGCCTGTCCTGGAACTTGTTCTGTAGACCAGACTAGCCTCACAGAGATGTCCTGGGACTCATTCTATAGACCAGGCCGGCCTCACAGAGATCATCTGCCTCTGCCTCCAGAGTGCTGGGATTAAGACAATAGTTTTTAACACATAAACATTTATCCTCTTAAAGTCTTTCAACGTGAACTTCTGGCTAGCTAAGCTGTTGTTAGTGATTAAATTGCTCAACAGCTCAGGCTACTTTATAAATTTCAGTTTTCTACACTGAACTGCCGTCAGAAAAGTAGACAGGTAACACAAAGCTGTTTCTTATTACCTGGATTGTTTTCTTTTATCGTAACTAAGTAGAACAGCCCTCTGGGGGAGAGGAGTTCTGAAGCCAGCGGGAAGAATCTGTCCATGACTTCCCGTCCGTTTCTGCCACCAGCCCAAGCTGCTTCTATTCCGTGACTTCCTACCTGTCACCAATCAGAGAGATTTGATTCAAGTTTGAGATTACAATCCTTTTGACATTAAACATTACCAAAAAAGTGCATTCCAAATGAGTGTACGTTGGCTTCTGAATGTTACTCTGCCAAACTCCTGAAGTCCTTATGCTACAAGAGAGCATGTGATTATCCAACAACTAAAACAGCACGCTGGGTGTGCTGGGCACACTGCAGTCTCCATGCTTAGGAACACGAGTGAGAAGATGGCAATTTCAAGGCTGACCTGAGCTACATGGTGAGACCCTGCCTCAAAAACCCAAGGGACAGGATTGCATGCGGCTCCGGGCTCAGTCAGGACCAGAATTATAAAGAAACCATTGAAAATTAAGTTCAGTGCTGACAACTTTTTTCCTATTTCTTGCTGTGGCCTTTACCCATATTTGATTTTAATTTTATATATAATCATGTTTTCTGTTTTTAGTCACTTAATATGGCATAGGTTTCCCAATTTAAAATAATTCCTTCATAATCATACACATAAATTTTACAAAGCAAAAAAATCCTACTCATAAGGGCAGGTTTTCCGAGCTTGTTTGTCTGCCCCTCCACTACCTTCAACAATTCTGTTTTTAACTGTTTTAGAGTGCAGGACTGTTCCACAATCTTTCCTGCGTCTTTTAGTGTTATGTTAGCACGTGTGTGCGTGTCAGACAATTTTTGCCTTCCACCTTGTCGGAGATGAGGCTCTCTCCTGCTTACCGCTGCATGGACCAGGCCAGCACCTCGTGAGCTTCCCATCAATGTGCACTCCCACAAAGCTCTGACATGGGCTCAGAGGACATCAACCTGGGCCCTGACGCTTTCACAAGCATCTCATCCAGTACCTATCTCCACAACCCTGTCACTCACAACATCTCAAGGACCTCTCATTTCCTCTGGTATAGTTCTAATTCACTGTTTATAGTGGTACAGTACCTTACTGAAGGAATATCTTATTTAGGTAGTCTTTGACATTTGCTGTGTCTATTAATTTTCTTTGCATCTTAATTCTGATTATTCTTAGACCCATTAATTCCACTTTAGCATCAGATTTTTCCTTTTGGAGCCCTCTGCTTTTCTTCTGGGCCCGCTCCTGTTCTGGACTCCCATCTCTGTTTACTCCAGTGCTTTGTGGGAACTGGCTGCTGACCAGGTGTGTGTCATGGTTTGAACCCGTCCCCATCTGGCCTTTCTAGTCACTGCTTCAGAATGTAGTAGGACTTCCTGTGGTAAGATTCCAGGCCAGTAAGCCCCATTTATCTGCTTATAATGGAGGAGATGACTCCTCAGCAACTTCTGGCACCATCCCAACCCTGAGGCCAAAGAAGAGAGGATTCCACTTCAAAAGGAGCAGGCAGGTGTTCCCTTCTGTTTGCTTGCTGCCCGGGCTCCACTCTTGGTTCCTCAGAGACCACAGGTATAACCCCTGTATAGCACTTTAGTTTACGCTTCTGAATGTGACAGTGAGTCTAGCCACAGAGCTCAAGCCCTTGACTGTGTGTCTTCTGGATATCATCTCTAAGTCATTTATTATTAACCTCTCTGATTTCATTTACTTTGTCTTTATACTTTATGGCCTGAAATCATTGTTTTCATTTAGTTTCCAGACTAGTTTTTTTTTTAACTTTAAAAAAATCAGTGTGCATTTGTGTGTACTCATGGAAATCGGAGAACCTTTGGGAGTCAGTTTTCTCCTACCATGTGGGTTCTGGGTTAGAACTCATCATTAGTCTTGACGCCAAGCACCCTTGACTTGCTGCGCCACCTTGCTGGACCTGTGCTTTGCCCGATCTAATCATTCAGGTCTGGGAATTAAGACACCAGATGTGCTGGGACTGCAGAAGTGCCCAGGGCATTGCTATGTCTCAGCAGATACACTTAGCTTACTGCTCCAGCTGGGAATACACTGGGACTCCAGTGGGTCATCATATTCTCTGAATTGTTTCTTCACTGACTGAGACCATACCGTGAATTAACCATCCTTCTGCACACACAGGCTCATATTGACATTACTTAAATAGATTATAAATGTAATAAACCTTTGTCCATTTTAGTTTTTATCCTGCTATTGAATGACTTGTGGTTTTGTGGAGACAGGGTCTCACTGTGTAGCCCGCGCTGACCTGGAACTCAGAAGTCTGCCTCCTGAGGCAGGCACCACCATACTCAGCTATTGAGTGATTTTAAAACTAGATCTTGAGGGCTGAAACATTTTTAACAACTGTATTTACTGATCTGTTGTGTGTATTGTGTGGGTATACATGTGGACAGAGAGCTGTCTTCTGCTCACTGCCACCTCTGGGCTGGACTGAACCATTGTTATCACAAGGTTCATTTCCATAGCTTTTTCTTGAGCATCCAATTCATATAAGAAATGTAATCCCCTACTGATACGCTGACGGCATTTGGAGGTGGGCTGAGTATGGGTCGTGAGGGATTGATTAGCCCATGTTATAAAGGGGAAGAGAGCCACGTGTTCAGGAATGGTTCCTCGTTCTCAGCTATGATGTCTCTGTCATAACACAGCAGAAAGGCCTTGGCCACAGCCACACACCCCGAGACTGGTCTCAGTCTCCAGACTCTGAGAAATACATGTATTAATTAAACAACCTGTAGTACTTGATTACAGGAGCAGTGAACAGAATATACGAGACTGTAGTGCTGTTCCCTCTGACTGTGACTTACTTCCTGAGCCTCAGTTCATGTGAGCACAGCCAGAGCAAGTGCAGTGGAAGTGGGCATAGTATTTACCAGCTTTGCCGGAGAATAATCACCAAAGAATACATCAGGCAGAGTTAAGGAGAAGCCAGTGCTCATCTTCTGGGGGAATGGTGATCTGGCTTGACTCCTTACTATGGAGATTCTTAAATACATGATGTACTTCTATTCTTTCCCTATGAAAGATCAGGATTGGTCCCACACTTTTCATTTCTGATAATGCCAAGGGATGAAACCCAAGACTCTGAGAAGGACATTATTGGTGAATGTATAGTTGATTAGAAGTATTTTTAAAATTTGCATTATAAATTTGTTATTTATGGTAATGGATCAGTTTCAACATCATGGCCTGACTTGGGTGAGAATTCTGACTAGGTGGGTCACATTCTGGTCCTTCTGTCAGGATTCTTCTCCTTCTGGGTTACACTGTCTGGTCTGAGAATCTCTGATCAGAGGAGTGTTGTTAGCAGCAGAGACCGAAGTCAGCCCAAGTTCATCTTGTCTCACACAGAGCAGCTGGAGACTGAACACATTCTGCTGTGGCCCTTACCTCTTCAGGTGGAGTCACTACATAGGGGGGGTTAAACACCAGCAGATCAACTTTCCCCTTCAATCTGGGCAGCAAGCCTTGGACCTGAAGACAGCAACAATACAGTTTAAGCTGGATTCTGGTTTAAATAATAAGTCTTTAAAAATACTCTCTCCTGTTTTCAGTGGGGGACAGTACTTACAGACAGAAATGTTCTCATGCAGGTGCAGTTTATATGAACTTAAGCTAAACGAGTGAAGCGGAGAGTGAGCAGATACCACATACAACTTCTATCAACAGTGCGTATGTGCGCATTCTGGGTTCATGAGGGCGCGGTGAGCCCCGATTCTGTGAAACACATTCCCTGTGGATCCACAAAGAACTTCACAACATCTCTGCTACCTTACACAATGATCTCTTGTAACTAAGAAATGTGCACACAGCTGGGCAGTGGTGGCGTATGCTTTAATCCTGGCACTTGGGAGGCAGAGGCAGGCAGATCTCTGTGAGTTCAAGGTCAGCCTGGTCTACAAGAGCTAGTTCCAGGACAGGCTCCAGAGCTACAGAGAAACCTGGTCTCAAAACAAAACAAAACAAAACAAAAAAATGCACTTGAGCACGTGTGTGTGTGTGTGTGTGTAGGTCAGAGGACAACCTTGGTATCTTCCCTAAGGAACTTTCCACCTTCTTTTTGAGACTGGCCTGGAAGTTCACTGCTGTTCTAGGGCTGGAAAGATTCCAGGAATCCACCAGTCTCCCGTTTAGCACTAGCAGGGTGTACAAACAACACGCCACCATGCCTGGCTTTTTATATTCTGTTCTGGGATCTCACTTAGGTCCTTTGTAAGGCAGACATGGTACCAACTAAGGTGGTTCCCCATGTCCCAAGGGAAATGTTTTATAAGATAACATAGAATGTATCTGAATGACACAAAACACCAAGGATGGACTGTTTTTGCTTCTTCACTTACTTGTAAATATTTTGACTGACAAATTTGGACATTAGAGCAGGGAGCACTGAACAAAATGGTCAGAGACTGCAAACAGCCAGGATTTGACACTTTTTTTATGGCTCAGTTGTCCATGGAACAAGAAAAAAAGAAAAAAAGAAGAAAAACCCTCACAATTTTGTGTTTGTGTGATTCAAAGCTACCTCATTTCCAGTCACACCATCTAAGCATTGGACATACACTGGACTGATTATGAACACTAAACATATATTACAAAGTGATATCTGAGACTTTCCTGATCCAGATTTCTATAGTCAATCCAGTTTTAATTATCCTAATAAGTCTGGTAACTTGTAACTCAAAGGTAACTCCTAAGACCTCTTTTTGAGATTGTGCTTGCAAAAGTAATTCTTTTTTCCTCTTTATAGGGGGAAACAATAGCCTATTCTTTGAAGTAATTTGGATACAATTTTGTTGCAAACCAAAAGATGATTCATCTGCTCCTCCAACAGTCTAAGAATGAGGGAATAACTCAGTGTGTGTGTGTGTGTGTGTGTGTGTGTGTCCGTGTGCGCACACACACCACTTTGTTTTCGATTCCACAAAGAAATTAAACTTCTTAAAAGAACTCTAAAATATAAGTTTCCAGGAATGCTGGCTCACGAAACTGGAGAAGGTTTGCTTTGTAACTCCCAGAGGCTCCTGAAGCACTACCCAGCTCTCCAGGAGTAACTGCAGGCTGGATAGTACATAAACAAAAAGGACAAAAATCTTAAAACAGAATATGATATATGATCCACTGTGAACCTGAGTTTGTGTTTACATTTATTAAATAAAATCAACCTTGGGGCAGGAGGCAGAGCTAGCAACTAATTGACAGAAAGTAATCATAGAGAGTCAGAGAATATCTGGAAGACGGATAGAGAGACACGCAGGACTTTGAGTGTGGCAGAGCAGGACAGCCTTTTTCTGAGACACAAAGAGGGAAGGTCAGCTAGTTGCTCCTCAACCTCTCTGAGCTAGCAGGTTTTCACCTGGGCCTCTGACTCCCAAGTCTTATTGATAAAAAGAACACTAGAGATTTGGTTAGACCTACATTTGCTGGCAGGGGCAGGAGGCTCCAAACTGGCAACTATTGGAGAAGTGAGCCAGTAACTGTGGAGTGGCGATTATTGGCTGAAACAGCAGTAGATTCAGGCACAGCTGCTGAACTGGAGCTAAAACAAGAGACTCTTGAAATTAAAATGTATTTAAATAAAACCAAGGACTAGTACAGGCATCTGCAGCCAGGCCCAGTCAGTTTCCAGCTTTCACATCTCCAAGAATTGAAGAATAAATGAAAGAGGCCCTAGCAAGTGTTAAATGCACGCAGCAAAACACGCAGACTTTATTTCCTGTAGAGACACCTTTTGGAGGACCCTTAGGTTAAATGTGAGTCAAAACTGTCTGATTTTCTTACACAAAAGCAGAGAGAATGGATGTTCTGCCAATAGATAACAGTTAAACAGGGCAACATGAGGCCAGCGAAAGGAAGAGGGGAACTACCAGGTACTTCACGTGGCACATGACTGAGCAGCCCTAGTATCACACAACTCAGAATGACAGACACCCACGGAGTTTGTAAAAGGTAGAGTGTGTTTGGTGTGCACTAACAATGTTAGGAAATACATAGATGCATTTTAAAGATTGTATTCTAAAACTAAAAATGAAGAATAATAATTCTACCGCTTTGATTTTGAGAAAGAGGTCACACTGTGTAGCTCAGGCTAGCCTTAAACTTGAAATTCATCTTACACTCTTGACTACTGGAGATTCCAGGAGTGAGCCACTATGGCCAGCTTGTTGCTACTTTTTAAAATGTAATCTTGTACTCAAAATAGAGTATAAAATCATCTTTGGCTATATAGTTAAGTTTGAGCTAGCCTGGGGCTACATGAGACCCTGTCTCATAAAAACAAAAAAAGTTAATTGCTAAAGTTCATTTGCATTAAAACCTGTTGACCTTCAATTAACTGAGATGAAATTGATTACTACTGAACAGAGATTAAAGCTCACCAAGTCTGTAATTATTGGCTGAAGGTGGACTCTGTTACAGTGTGCTGTCTCCAGGGTACATGCGGCCGCCTGGGGGTTGATATCAGTGCACCTACAGACAGGAGAAAAAAATCAGGGCCGTGAACAGAAGCAAATCTGCTAGCTACTTTAGGAATTTTGTTAATTCTAAGTGGCACAGAAAAAATTAGGATGTTTTCATAATGGCAAAGAAAAAGAGAACAAAGGCTCGTTACACTGGTGACAAGCACTGCTACAGAATTGAAGTGTGGCTTAAGCACCCAGCAAAACCGAAATCCAAAGAAATGACTGTTAGGAGACAGCTACACAACATACACGAGAGATTACAGAGTGCACAAAACGCACCGGCTCCGTGTCTGGCAAATCTACTATTTCCTGGGGTTTGTATTCTCAAGTGCTCTGCAAAGAAACTCAACTCTCCAGGTGTTTTCTAACCGTCAAATGACTCCCTGAAAACGATCCCAGTAGACAGAACTCAAAATTACGTGGCTCCTAAGATCACATAGCAGGAAGGCGTGAACATGAAATTATAACTGGGGTGGGCACAATTTGTGACTTGAGGCCTTACTGAAACACCACCAGAGACATTTTGTCTACTTAAAATATTTCACCCAAGCTGCCACAGTCACAGTAACCTAGGAGGTGGGATGAACGTTGTATACTCACATGTACAAGGCCTGAGGACCTATCATGGAGGCCAGGAACGCAGACACCACACCAGACCCTGCTCCAACTTCAAGGCATATTTCCACTCTTTAACAACAAAACCAGAATACTTAGTTCATTCCCATGAGCCTACTCTCCATGGAAGATGACTCTCATGCAATATAATGTATTTCTCCAGCATCATCATTCGCTTGCAAATATATGGGAAAATAAGGGAAATTTACAATTTCTGGCAATCACTTGCATATGGTTGCATAGCTATACCTGGTAATAGTTTAGGTGTGTAACAGACTGTCAATTACCTTGAAGTACTTAAACACACCAAGCAGCATGTCCTAGGAATGAAAGTCCTCTACCTACCTAGAGAGATATAGAACAGACATTCTCTACTAAACTGGGCAAGTACCTCACAGCATGGCCTCAAAATGCCAATAATCTTAGCTTTCTCAACTTAAAAGTCTTCATATTATTTTCCAGTGAAATTATTCCCTCAATGAGTGTACATGTTTCAAAAGCGCCACTTAATTTTTACAATGCCTAATGACATTCACGGGAATTCCTTGCACTTAACTTTTCAAACAATAGTCAAGAGGCAGTTACAGGATTTTTAGCTTTAGAACCAGCCACATATCTGAGAAGCCGTTAGTCACTCTAAAGTTTGTGAATCTTTCCAGGTGGTTACTTCTTGGAAATAACCATTACAGTCTCATAATTAGAATTTCAAGTCTTCGTGACAAGGTCAGCCCCATTTACTGCATAGTCCGCAATGCAATTTGTAGTTGTAAATCTTTCTGGGCTGTTCTGAGTATACGAGTTCCGAGCCAGTGTTCCATAAGATATTCCAGTAACCTGAAATTCTCCACCATCTATGATGAAAGGCTGATTTCAAAAGCATTTTATAGACGAAAAAAAATATGACAAAGCTTAAGAGGGGTAAGCGTGTTGGTCATTTCGTTCTGGTGGACCCCAGTTCAAAAATCTTGCCCATTAAATGAATGACCCGAATTCTTTCAGCAAAATGTTTTATTAGACTTATTTTGTGTATGTGTGGGCACGCAGTCCTCAGCACTGAAACAGAACGTCCAAGAACAACCTGTAGGAGCATTTGTCTCCTCCTGCCATATGGGTCCTGAGGACTGACCCTGAGTCCACAAGTTTGGCAGCAAGCACATTTACAAGCTGAACCATCTTTCCCGCTCTTGACTCAAATTCTCTTAACCGAAAAATCAACATGTAGCCTTTACAACTGTTGTCATTAAAAGTTATGACCATACTTCAACGAATCAGGCTAGTGAAGATCCTGCAGTAAGCGGATGCATGGTAACTATTATATCTTCCCTAATGGTACTAACTACATTTCTAACACTGCAACTGAAAATTCGGTTTCTCAGTTGCAGGAACGTTTGAAGCGCTCAGTAGTAACACATCGCTAATGGCTGTTCCTTGAGAGAGCTGAGTGGGTTTAACATTTCACCATTCGTGTCCTTCCGTTGCCAGAGGATGCTATTTATGCACTAAGTAGCAGGTGAACCCTGCGCGAGTTTTACACTAAGAAACTTCATATTGGAAAGCAGCAATGTTTCGGGAACACCTTGTTTCTGGCCGTGACACTACGATTGCACTCAGGGGCACTTGCGTTCTTCAGATAATAGCCGAAAGGCAAGCAAGGCGGGGTGACCATAGGGTTTTGCAGAGCACAAACCCCGGCACGCTGCTCTTTCACCCCGCTCTGCTGTCAATCACCAGGCAGTGGGCCGACCCACCACTTCCGGAGGAGGCAAGACTTCCGGCTACCGCCCCTGGGACACCCCGCTCCTTCCCGCTGAGGCGCGCACCCTCCTCGCACCCTGCTAGTTCGGCCGCCGCCGCCTCGAGCGCGTCCAGCAGCAGGAACGTGTCCTCCGAAGGCTCGTACACGTCGCTGAAGGCTCCGCGACCCACGTGTCCATACAGCGGTGTGGGCAGGCTCGGCGCCGCCATCTTTTTCTTCCGCGTCTTGCCGGCCTGCGTTTAGAGTGCGCATGCGTCAGGCTGCGCATGCGCTTTGGTCTGACACGGGGTGGGAGGGTGTTTGGGGCGTAGCGCTTGTATTTTACGTGCAGTCGAATAGGCTGCTGGGCTGTCTTGGAACTGGTAAATAGTTATATATTTTGCACCTCCTAACATCAGTTTTCATCTTTTGAACATTTTGTGTGTACTTTTTCAACTATCCTAATGTTGAGCATCTGTTACTTTTTACTAAGGCGACTGTTGCGTTAATTATAATGACATTTGGAAAGGTTTTTCCATTTTTAAATTGTAAGGATTTGCAAAAATAGTGATTACTAAATTTTACTGTTTTTAAACAGCTGAGCTGTACATTTTGATCATGATTATGATTACTTTTATTTGCTTCATTTTGTTGTGCAGTCTCACTAGCCCCTGCTGACCTGGAACTGGGTCATCCTCCTGCCCGTCTCCTGAGTGCTGGGACTTAAGGCTTGTGACACTTTGCCCAGATTAGACTGTGATTTTTTAAAATTTATTTCTTATTTGATTATTTCATACATGTATAAAATTCATTTTGGCCATTTTCATTAAAATAGTTTGGAAGGCTGCTTTGAAAATTAAAAAAAAAAAAGCTATAGTTGGAGGGTTGGAGAAGTGCTCAGTGGGTGAGACCTTGTACTGAACTTGCCAAAGACCCAAGTTTGGTTTCCTACACCCCAGTTCTGTATGGGTGGGCGCACGGCTGCCTCTAACTCCAGTTCCAGAGGATGGCTGCGCTTCCTGCCTCAATGGCTATGGCTCAGAACTGCTGTGTTTATACATTCATGCAGGCAGAACACTCATGCATGAAATAATAATGAATCTTTAAAACAATGGTGGGGCCTGGAGAGGCAGTTCCGCAATTCAGAGTGTGAGGTGCTTGCTCTTCCAGAGGATCGGAGTCTGGTTCCCAGTACCCCCATCAGGTGGCTCACAACCACTTGTAACTCCAGCTCCGGGACATCCAGTATCTTCTGTCCTCTGCCAGCACCTGCGCACACATGTACATAAACACATAGATTTACATTAATAAAAACATTGAATATTTTGAATTATATTTATTGATATTTTAATGTACTTATTACAAAAGTTGCCATCCTAATATTGAGTCGATTGTCACTTGCACTGACTGGTTTCTGTCTACCTCGACACAAGTTAGAGTCATCAGAGAGGAAGGAGCCTCCCTTGAGGAAATGCATCCATGAGATCCAGCTGTAAAGCATTTTATCAGTTAGTGATTGATGGGGGAGGACCATGGTGGGTGGTGCCATGTTGAATTAGGAGCGGCAGGGCTGCGTCCCCGGCACCCTGCCGCCCGCATAGCTATAGCTTATGCCCGAAATAATTACACGGAAACTGTATTCTTTCAAACACTGCCTGGCCCGGCTAGTTCCAGCTTCTTATTGGCTAGCTCTTACATATTGTTCTAACCCATTTCTAATATTCTGTGTAGCCCACGAGCTGGCTTACCAGGGAGGATCTTAACCTGCGTCTGTCTGGAGCAGGAGAATCATGGCGACTCCTGACTCAGCTAAGCTTCTTTCTCCCAGCATTCTCTTCTGTTTACTCCACCTACCTAATTTTCTGTCCTATGAGGGCCGAGGCAGTTTCTTTTATTAATCTGGAGCGGGAGAATCATGGCGACTCCTTCTGACTCAGCTTCTTTTTCCTAGCATTCTCTCCTGTCTACTCCGCCTACCTAATTTTCTGTTCTATGAGGGCCGAGGCAGTTTCTTTATTATTACAAGACCCACCTCCATCAGTGCCATCCCTGGGCTGGTAGTCCTGGGATCTACAAGAAAGCAGGCTGAGCAAGTCCTGGGAAGGAAGTAAGCTGCTCCCCTCCATGTCCCCTTCATGAGGTCCTGCCTCCAGCCTCCTGCCCTGTTTGAGTTCCTGCCCTGGCTTCCTTTAATGAAGAGCAATGTGGAAGTGGAAGGGAAATAAACCCTTTCCTCCCCAGCTTGCTTTTTGATCTATTCTTCACAGCAATAGAAACCCAAACTAACGCATCACTCATAAGTTTTTTCAAGTATGGTGGTGTAATTTTCTTTTTCTTTTCTTTTTAATATTTATTTATTTATTTATTTATTTATTTACTATGTACACAATATTCTGTCTGTATGCCTGAAGGCCAGAAGAGGGCGCCAGACCTCTTTACAGATGGTTGTGAGCTACCATGTGGTTGCTGGGAATTGAACTTAGGCCCTTTGGAAGAGCAGGCAATGCTCTTAACCACCGAGCCATCTCTCCAGTCCCTGTAATTTTCCTTTAAGACTGTTAGGGCTGAAATGCCAGTAACCCAGCTCTGATTTCTTCTGGATTATGAAGTTCTAGTAGGTACACATTGGACGTTCTCTGGAACATTTGCTAGAACTCACCCCACACCAGCTCCCCTTCTTGCCTTTTCTAATGGATGCATTGCTGGCATCTGGGACATCTATAGGTTACGTGCTTCAAGTACTTTGCACTTTTTTGAAGTCAATTTCTGAAATTTGTTTAAAATTAACCTTTATAATCTAGTTTTTTTTTATTTGAACTTGAGAAATAATACAGAAATGAGGATGGCAAGCTGGTTCGACAGGTAAACAACAGGCACTGCCAAGCTTGAGTATCTGAGTTGGGTCTCGGGAACTCACACAGGGGAAGGAATGAACCTATTCCTACAAGTTGTCCTCTGACCTCTGTGGATGTGGTGGCGCACACATGCACAAACAAACCCAGAAATGTATTTAAAAGTGCCATGTGCCACTAGGATTGCCTATTAACTATTTCCACACACATCCTCCCAATACCTTTCCAATACAAGAAACAAAATGAGATGGTTTTTTTTTTTTTTTTTTTTTCTGTATTCAACTTGCTCTATTTTGTGACCTGAATTTTTCTTAATGATTGATTTACTTTTATGTACAGGAGGTTTTTTTTTTCCTGCATGTGTGTCTGTGTGCCATGTATGTGCAGTTCATGCAGAGGCCAGAAGAAGGCCTCTGATTCTCTGGAACTAGGGTTAAGTGGTGAACTGTCCTGTGGGTGCTTGGAGTCACACCTGGGTTCTCTGGAAGATCAGCTGGTGCTCTTCACTGCTGAGCCATCTTCCCAGACCCTGATTTTTTTTTTAAAGGTTTCAGGTTTTTGTTTTTTTTTTCCCTCGAGACATGGTTCTTCTGTGTAGCTTTGGAGCCTGTCCTGGCACTAGCTCTGTAGATCAGGCTGGCCTCGAACCTACAGAGATCCACTTGCCTCTGCCTCCCAAGTGCTGGGATTAAAGGCGTGCGCCATCACCACCTGGTGGTTTCAGCTATTTAAAAAAAACATTTATTATATTTTTATGTGTATTATTGTTTTTGCCTGTGTGTGTATGTGAACCATGTGGGTGCCTGGTGCTGGAGTAGGTCAGAGACGGCTTTGAATCCCCCTGCAACTGAAGTTATGAATGGTGGTGAACCATCGTGTGTGTGCCGGGATTCAATCCTGGGCCCTTTGCAAGACCAATAAGTGTAATTAACCATGGAGACATCTCTCCAACACCCTGAATTAAAAATAGACAGATTTATTTTAATTTTATGTTAATGAGTGTTTTATCTGCCTGCGTGTCTGTGCACTTGTGTATGCAGTGCCCAAGGAGGATAGAAAAAGATGTTGGATTCTCTGGAACTTAAATTACAAGCAGGTATCAGCCCCATTGATTAGTGGGAGCTGAACTTGCTTTTTATGCAGGAAAAGCAAGTGGTTTTAACTGTTGAGCCATCTTTTCCATCCCTGACCTGAATCTCTTGGAAACATCTTAGGGATATAGTGTGCAATTACTTAACCCATTATTTTATACATTTGCATTCATGTATTCATAAGTAAAACACTTGATAAATATATATTATACATATATATATAATTTTAAATGCGCATTGGTGCTTTGCCTGCATATATGTCTGTATGAGGGTGTTGGATCTTGTATCTCCAACCCTGCATACATTGCTTTTCAGTTTCTTTTTCACTCAGGTTGGCCTCAAGCTTGCTGTGCAGCTGAGGGTAACCTTGAACTTCTGTTTTTCCTGACTTCACCTGCTAGACTCCAGGATTACAGGTACATCCCCATGCTGTGTGTTTTCTCTCTCTCTCTCTCTCTCTCTCTCTCTCTCTCTCTCTCTCTCTCTCTCTCTCTCTCTCTCTCTTTTGGTGCTAGGGATCAAGCGCAGGCCTTGTGAATGCTAGGTAAGTACTGTAGCACTGAGGTACATCCTTATAAGGCCCAGCTCTTATTATTTTAGAAGATGGAGGCTTATCTGGCCTTGCAAGCTCTTCAGAGTATAGTTTCCTATTTGATCATGGTGCCTATCCCCAGTTTTCTAGTCTGGGGAGTTGGGGGTCAGGCTTCTTTTTGATTTGATGATGATGGATCAGTCACTCTGCTGACTGCTCTGGTTGCTTTGGGACTCTCTCCAGCTCCTCTGTCTACAGGGTCCCCATTTGGAGTTCTGAAATCGTGTCCAAGCTTAGCTCTGACAGTCCCAGCCTGCTTCTCTCCTCCTCATGCGGGTGTGATGCTCTCACCTCATTTGGTGTTTTTTAATATCCTTATCATGCCTTCTGAAATTACTGACTGGAGACCTTAAAACCACTATTTTGTATTCCCCCCGGCTCTGATTTTAGAGGTAATTTAGGTCTCACCAGTTCTTTGCAGTCACATGAATGGAACACTGAGATACAGGCTGACTTCTATTGACTCTGCTGTTTTTACTGGCAAATAGAGCTGGTTTTCCAGCAAGGGCTGTATGGGATCTCCAGCTCCTCCAGTGTGTGGACAAGGCACAGCTCCTGCATTTTGTGGCTATGAAAGTGTGTCTTGGATGGTCTGGGTCTGGAAGCACCAACTGTAGCAGTGGGTTCTCCATTCCACAGTTTTCGGACCATGATGTGGCCAGACGCTCACTTGTGCAGTGTACCCTCAGGAGGTAATCTTGGAAGCTCACCCCAAAGCTGATCTTTGGACCCCTTAAAGCTGGCTGTCTTACCCC